TATACTATACTATACTATACTATACTATACCATACTATACCATACTATACCATACTATACCATACCATACCATACCATACCATACCATACCATACCATACCATACCATACCATACCATACCATACCATACTATACTATACTATACTATACTATACTATACTATACTATACTATACTATACTATACTATACTATACTATACTATACTATACTATACTATACTATACTATACTATACTATACTATACTATATTATATAATACCTTATTAAATTCTAATCGTTTAATTGGCTGTTTAGGGTCACGTGATATTGAATAGAAAATTCCATTTCCCAAGAGTGCAATGGAACACGTTCCATTGCACTCTCCGCGAGTGCAATGAAATAAAACGTATAGTACAATTGCACTCTTTGTGTTTTCGATAAATCGCATCCCTCAAAATGCTTCTCATACGAATCTATTAGTCTATTTTGGTATTATATAAAACAAATAATGAATGTTTCTTCGTGCAATGGTAAGAATATTTTCATTCTGTGAAAGATGGAATGTTCCATTCAACTCGGCTGTCGCCTCGTTGAATGGAACATTCCATCTTTCACCTCATGAAAATATTCTTACCATTGCACTCATAAACATTCATTATTTGTATAATATTTATCACTTATTTACTGAGACCGAGGGAAACAGTGTGTTTTGTGGACCCGAGACCGTCGATGTTTCCCGAGGCGAATATCAATATATATATATATATATATATATATATATATATATATATATATATATATATATATATATATATATATATATATATATATATATATATATAATACCTTATTGAATTCTGATCGTTTAATTGGCTGTTTATGGTCACGTGATATTGAATAGAAAATTCCATTTCCCAAGAGTGCAATGGAATGCGTTCCATTGCACTCTTGCGAGTGCAATTGTACTATACGTTTTGTTCCATTGCACTCTTTGTGTTTTCGATAAATCGCATCCGTCAAAATGCTTCTCGTACGGTGATCGCAGTTTATTTTAACCCGATATTCGAAACTCAGTAAATGGGATTTAATGCAAATACGACTCGTCAAAATGGCGGAGCTTATAGTAAACCTTTCAATATTAGTCTATTTTGGTATTATATATATTCGTGCAATGGTAAGAATATTTTCATTCGGTGAAAGATGGAATGTTCCATTCAACTCGGCTGTCGCCTCGTTGAATGGAACATTCCATCTTTCACCTCATGAAAATATTCTTACCATTGCACTCATAAACATTCATTATTTGTATACTATACTATACTATACTATACTATACTATACTATACTATACTATACTATACTATACTATACTATACTATACTATACTATACTATACTATACTATACTATACTATACTATACTACACTACACTAGACTACACTACACTACACTACACTACACTACACTACACTACACTACACTACACTACACTACACTACACTACACTACACTACACTACACTACACTACACTACACTACACTACACCACACTACACTACACTACACTACACTACACTACACCACACTACA